ATCTCATCATAGGAGTTATATTTTGTTATAATTATGCAATTAATATGGTTATGGGGTATCTCAGCATAGATTTCTGTAATAAATTCTTTTCAGGGGACCTGTGTTCATAATTAGGAAAGCGCCCAAGCCTGTAGGGTGCAAAACTACTACTTCATTCCCGCCCGCCCTTCCTCTTGTCTCTCTTGTTGCACGCTCAGCGTCCTTCTTCTTCCATTGCCTCTCGGCTATCTTCCCTGCCTCCTTTCCTTAGTCTCCCACCTTCTCTCGCACAGTAAGCTATATTACGTACCTTTCCTTAGGCACTACTTGCCACATGAAACGTTGCTCGCGCATGCGCAATAACTCAGGAGAAAAATTATGTTTTGCCAAAATTGTGAATTTAAAATGAAGCGGGGTTATCCTAGCATAGATTTATATGATAACATTCTATCAGTACACCTCGCTTAAGAAATAAGACGAAGACATTGCATGTAAGGTCCCCGATGCATATACCAGTCAGTAAATAATTTAACTACGTTAGTGTGCTAGCGCATGCGCAATATCTCACCAGAGGAGTTATATTTTGTGATGATTATGCATTTAATATGGTTATGGGGTATCTCAGCATAGATTTCTGTAATAAATTCTTATCAGTAGGTCTGTGTTTATAATTAGTAGAGCGCCCTAGCCTGTACGGTGCAAAACTACTACTTCATCCCCGCCCGCCCTTCCTCTTGTCTCTCTCGTTGCACGCTCAGCGTCCTTCTTCTTCCACCGCCCCTCAGCTACCTTCCCTGCCTCCTTCTCTCAGTCTCCCACCTTCTCTCGCACAGTAAGCTATTTTACGTACTTTTTCTTAGGCACTACTGGCCACATGAAACGGTGCTCGCGCATGCGCAATAACTCAGGAGAAAAATAATATTTTGTCAAAATTATGAATTTAAAATGAAGCGGGGTTATCCTAGCATAGATTTATATGATAACATTCTATCATTACACCTCGCTTAAGAAATAGGACGAAGACATTGCATGTAAGGTCCCCGCTGCATGCATATACCAGTCAGTACATAATCTTACTACGTTAGTGTGCTAGCGCATGCGCACTATATCTCACCAGAAGAGTTATATTTTGGGATGATTATGCATTTAATATGGTTATGGGGTATCTCAGAATAAATTTCTGCAAATAAATTCTTATCAGTAGACCTGTGTTTATAATTAGTAGAGCGCCCTAGCCTGTAGGGTGCAAAGCTACTAATTCATCCCCGCCCGCCCTTCCTCTTGTCTCTCTTGTCGCACGCTCAGCGTCCTTCTTCTTCCACCGCCCCTCAGCTATCTTCCCTGCTCCTTCCCGCAGTCTCCCACCCTCTCTCGCTTAGCAAGCTATATTACGTAATTTTCTTTAAGCCCTACTACTGCACACATGAAACGGTGCTCGCGCATGCGCAATATCTCCCGAGAAGAAAAATATTTTGCAAAAAATTATTAATTTAAAACGAAGAGGGATTATCCTAGCATAGATTTATATATGATAACATTCTATCAGTACACTTCACTTAAGAAATAGGACGAAGACCTTGCATGTAAGGTCCCCGCTGCATATATACCAGTCAGTACACAATCTGACTACGTTGGTGTGTTAGCGCGTGCGCAATATCTCATCATAGGAGTTATATTTTGTTATGATTATGCAATTAATATGGTTATGGGGTATCTCAGCATAGATTTCTGTAATAAATTCTTTTCATGAGACCTGTCTTCATAATTAGGAGAGCGCCCTAGCCTGTAGGGTGCAAAACTACTACTTCATTCCCGCCCGCCCTTCCTCTTGTTTTTCTCGTTGCACGCTCAGCGTTTTTCTTCTTTCACCGCCCCTCAGCTATCTTTCCTGCCTCCTTAATTTCCTCAGTCTCCCACCCTCTCTCGCACAGTAAGCTATATTACGTACGTTTCCTTAGGCCCTACTGCACACATGAAACGGTGCTCGCGCATGCGCTATATCTCCCGAAAAGAAGAATATTTTGCCAAAATAATTAATTTATAATGAAGAGGTCCTATCCTGGCATAGATTTACATGATAACATTCTACCAGTACACCTCACTTAAGAAATAGGACGAAGACCTTGCATGTAAAGTCCCCGCTGCATATACCAGTCGATACATAATCTGGCTACGTTACGGTCTTAGCGCATGCGCAATATCTCACCAGAGGAGTTATATTTTGTGCGGAAAATGCATTTAATATGGTCAGGGTATCTCAGCATAGATTTTTTAAATAAATTTTTATCAGTAGACCTGTGTTTATAATTAGTAGAGCGCCCTAACCTGTAGGGTGCAAAACTACTACTTTATCCCCGCCCGCCCTTCCTCTTGTCTCCCTTGTCGCACGCTCAGCATCCTTCTTCTTCCACCGCCCCTCAGCTATCTTCCCTGTCCCATTCCCTCATTATGCCGCCCCACTCCCCCTCAGCGAGCTATATTACGTACGTTTCCTTAGACCCTACTGCATACATGAAACGGTGCTCGCGCATGCGCAATATCTCCCGAGAAAAATAATATTTTGCCAAAATTATTTATTTAAAATGAAGGCGACGACTGAAGAGCAGAGAGCATGAGAGAGAGAGAGAGAGAGGAGAGAGAGACGAGAGAGAGAGAGAGGAGAGAGAGAGAGAGAGAGAGAGAGAGAAGAGAAGAGAGAGGAGAGAGAAGAGAGAGATCGAGAGATAGATAGAGCTAGAGAGAGAGAGAGAGCGTATAACTAAGTAGAGAAAATATCCAAAGAAATCCATATAGCACGAGAAATAATAACATGAGAAAATACATTGTACAGGGATTAATACATTTAATACGCCAAACTGTCAGAGAAATTAAGTGATCGACATTCAAAAAGAAAATGCAAAATATAAAGGATTCTGGAGGTGAGGGGAGGTAGGTGGGCAGGGGAGGGAAGTGAGAGGAGAGGGGAGGGAGATGGGAAAGAAGAT